TAAAACAACACTCAATGAGTTACATAAATTATATTGTATATTATATTATTAATTATTATACTGTAATTTGTATATTAAGTATTTTCACTAATTTTTGTAATTTTTATATATCTTTGATATTAAATAATATAATAATATAGTATACATTTTGCCAATCTTCTTTTACTTTTATTATTATCCTATCCTTTTATTAGTTTTAGATTCTGAGTGAAACGATGAATGTAGGTATTGATTTTACAATGATGTGTGTTTTTTGTTTTTTTTTTGTGTGTCTGTGTACACGATAAGTAGTCGAAATAATGAATCGATTTTCAACTTCAGTATCTTGTTCGATTGGGAAGTGAATCTAGTTAGTGCATTCGGGAGGTCATTTTTTAAAATTCGCAATAGTTTTCAAAAGCGCCGTGAAAAACAAAAGAAAAATTAAGGAAAAACGGAAATTTTTACGCAAAACGGTTTTCCAAAAAATCGATTTTGGTTTTTGGTGTACATGAAATTTTCACTAGTTGTTGAATTTTTACAAAATTTATCAAATATTAATTAGATTTCATAATAATTATATTTTTATGAAATAATATAGTTGAAATCAAAATCCACCATTTTCGGGGGAACCAGAACATTCAGGCCCCTGCAGTATTGTTTATTTTCATACTACCTACAACTATCACTTATCAGTAGTATATATCTGAGCACCTTTTTACAGGGAAATTTCCTAAATTTGAGTAGCCATTTCTACATGCTCCACTGTGTAACACATAATCTCAAAAAGTGTAATGTATGTTCTGAGCACCTTTTTTACAGGGAAATTTAATCAATTTAAGTGGTCATTTCTACATGGTCCACCGTGTTACACAACATTTTAAAATTTAAATAGTATATTAGTATGTTATCAAATTTTTCATTTATACTTAGAAAATTAATATAATATACTAAGTACTATTATACTACTAAACTAAAAATAAAAATTACATAAATATTTTTTTTGTGTAACAAACTATATAGATACCTTATACATATACCTATACCTATACCTATACATATACCTATACACAGTTCTGTGATGTGTTACACGATCACATAAACTGTTTAAAAATCATACTTTTTAAAGTGTTGTGTTACGCGGTGGAGCATGTAGTAATGACCACTGAAACTGATTAAATTTCCCTGTAAAAACGGTGCTCAGAACATACATTACACTTTTTGAGATTATGTGTTACACGGTGGAGCATGTAGAAATGGCACCTTGAATTGAAGAAATCTCCCTGTAAAAAAGATGCTCAGAACATACAAATATATAGGTACCTACTACTACTATCAAAAATAAAAGAATTTCGTTTAATTAGATTATCATTTTTTGTCATTATTATATTATATTATATTATGTATCTACGGTTATTTGTTGTAGAGTTATACCAAACACCAAAATCGATTTTGTAGAAATCGAAACCGAAATCGGATTTTTCCGTTTTTCCTTAATTTGTATTTTGCTTTTCCCAGTTCCCTGCGCTAAATTTTGACCTCCCCACTGTACCAACTAGATTCACTTTCTTATAGAACAAGATACTTTTGAAGAAAATCGAAGCAGTTCTACTATCCCAAACGGTGAAGGCAGAAAAAAAAAACAAAACACAATATAAAACCAATACGGCAATACCTACATTCATCGCTCAATTGCAGGTACCTACCTATCTACATAATTAAATAATAATAATTAATAATATATTATATGAGCCAATAATCTATATATAGGTATATAGCCATAATATGATAATTGAGGAACAGCTTTTGGAATTTTGGAATAAATAAAAATAATAATAATAATAACTACCAAGTTAATTTTTTTTTTTTATAAATTCTTGGAATGGGTACCTATTATTTCAACAAAATTACAACAACGATAAAAATGAACAATTTATTGTGTGTGTGGTACGAAGATATGAAGCACTACATCGTCGTAATCGAATGTTCCTTAGGCAATAGGCACCTATGACTGTTTTGAATTTTCTATTTTTATTTTTTATTACCTAAGTACCTATATAATATATCATTTCACAGTCACGCGTATGGTAGCCGACGTATCATAGGTACGTTTTTCGATTTACATTGTTCTTATATGCGACGATGATGGCATGAAGCCGTATGCTGTTATGTCGATGGCTAAACTCTTAAGCAATCAACAAATAACAATATTATAAGTTATAACTTATAAATTATACTCAGTGGCGGCGTCAGAACTTTAATGCCAGGTGGGCCATTCTGGGGCCCAAATTTTTTAGGGAGGGCCAAATTGTTGACTTGATATATATATATAACCAATAGTGATGACAGGCAATTGCGCAGAGAGGTAAGGGGGAGGGTCAACTTCCAATTTTTTTTACACTTCATCGTGTAAACTTACTAAAACAATGATTTGTAAACATGTATTGTATTAATAGTATTTATTTCCTATAACAAAATATATATTCATGTAAACACTTTTTAATTTGTATACTCCCTAACCCATAATTATACTCAATACCAACGAATATTTAATAATAATTTATTATTTTCGTATTCAGCCTCTGGAAAATACACGTTATTTATGAGGCTTGAAAGCATATATAGAGCATAGTTGTCAACCCATTCAAAATGTTGTTCACGCCATCTATCATGGCTTAATATTTTCATATATTTTAATTAATCATGATTTATTCATGAGATATTTTTTAGTATTCTAATATGATTAAATTTAATTTTTAGGGTGGGCCACAGGGGGGGCTGGGACTTTTTAAGGTGGGCCCGGGCCCACCCTGGCGCCGCCACTGATTATACTACATATAGTATTACTATTCAATAGTACCTAATACACTAATACTATATATTAATTTTAGTCTTGATGAGCAGCGTGGAGTGGTACCTACTACCTACGGTTAGGTACCCCGCAAAATGTCGGTTCGCTACTCCACTCATTAAAACTTTAAATACATACTTATAACTTATAAGTTATAACTCATAAAATTAAAAATATTCGTTATAAATTCGATTTGTATTTATCGAAATACTCAGAAAATTATTCTGTTTTCGAAGATTAAATTAAAACAGTTGAATTAGCTAATGAATAGTGGTGCACTAGTGTTGGTAACTAACACCATGGTGTTGGTTAAATTGCTTTTCAAAAGTAATATAATTATTAATTACGTTACTCGTTACAATATATATTTTTGTTTAAATTACATTCGCGTTACCCGGCATTATTTTAGATTCTGAGTGAAACGATGAATGTATTGATTTTACAATGATGTGTGTTTTTTTTTTATTTTTTTTTTTTTTTTGTGTCTGTCATCACGTTTTAGGACAGTAAAAGTGCTTGGATTTTCTTCAACAGTATCTTTTCTGATAGGAAAGAGAATCTAGTTGGTACTTTGGGGGGTCAAAAGTAAAAATTTCCCAGTAGTTTTCACAAGCGCCGGCAAGAGCGACATCCACTTACCCACCTTTTTATTACGTTACTTTATTTTTTCATTCAAAAAGTAGAGTACTAGAGTTACAAATAAGGTTACGGGGGACAGAGTCAGTGGCCGAGCGGACTAAAGCGTCGGTTTCAATGGGCACCGTCGCCGGTTCGAATCTCGGTCACGGCCGGCACTTCCCTACTTCTCACTTACCCAGTGGCATACTATATATTACTATTTATGTGGTTTTAGATTCGGTATGAATGTATTGATTTCACACATGATACCTTTGGGTATATTTTGTGTCTATGTACACGATAATTTATAGTAGTCGAAATAAAGCTTCGATTTTCAACCTCAGTATCTTTTCAGTAGGTAGGTAATAGTGAATCTAGTTCGTGCATTTAGGAGGTAAAACTTACGAAAATGTGCAAACTATCTTCTAGTTAAAAATGTTTTAAGAAATACTAATTTAGTCATATATCCATTATCAAATAAATCCTAAATAGGCTACTGACCACTGTATTTACCTATTTATTCAATTATTTTATTGTAATTTAAAAATATTATTCGAAGCCTCGTAGGTAGGTACTTTAAAAGTTTCAACTTTTAAAGTATATTATTTTATTTTATGCACACAATTTACTTTAAAATGCAATGTTTTGAGGCTTCAGCAACAATTAATTCAACCCACATTGATTTAATAGCAAAAAAATTTCTTTAATAATTATAATAGCTGACTGACTGATTAGTATATAGGTAGGCAGTCTGCGCTCAGAATCGTTTTTCATTGTAGTTATATAATGATTTATCATTGAATTCAAATTTAACTCATCCATTACAGTAACCACTTACTCAATGATGTATACACATCCAATAGTATACTAATACTGAAATACACATACTTTACGGCTGAGCTACTTATAGTTGACAACTTTTTTATTTGAAAATTCTGTAACTATTTCAATATTGTATTTAATACATCATTTTCAGATACCATTGTGTCATATTGTCATTATGGTTAAGGAGTACAGATCTAATTTCTTTTTTGCTAGTTGTTCTATACCTTTTTTTGATACTTCTAAGTACTTTATTTCTTTACCATTGATTACATTAGAGTTGTCATCTCTCTATACTGGTGTAGTCCATAATATTGTCTATGATAATTATCTTATTATTTTAAGATATATATATATATATAGGTACAGTGGTCAAAAAAACGTCCATATTACAAATTGTCATGGACAACGATACAATTTTTGTGATATAGAGAAATTTGTTAAATATTATTCTATTTAAGCACATAATTTTTTCTGTTGAACAATTTACTCATGTCTTCTGGAATGTGGCAGATCCTTATAATTTTTTTTTTAAGATAGATATTACAGATATTATATAGAAATTACAATTATTCTACGTAGTTCTATTTGAAATGTATTCAAATAAGATACATTTTGGTTTACTTTAATTAATTTAATTGGGTATTCTTTAATAAAATGAGAAGAATTGAACTAAATTTTATATCTGCATACAGTTTTCTAGCCCAGTACACTCGTATTTTACTCGAGCTCAACGAAACTGATTGTAGTCTGTACTCTGTATTGCATAAAGGTTAGCGACGGTTGATGATGTTGGGGTAGAGTAGGGTTGGGTTTTTGACCGGTCAAAATCTTTTAATGACAATTGACCAGATTTTGACTCGTCAAAATTGGTCAAAATCTTTTTTTTTACGTCCTTAATTCAAATGTTGTATTTAAATGGAAAAAAATAAAAAATGTATTAAAAGTTAAAACCATCAAATAGTAACAAAAAACATTTTTACACCTATTAAATAATGAATACATACAATTTTGTTTACAAATAAATAAAAATATAAAATATCAGTCTTTACTTTTTATTAATAATGAATTATAAACAGAAAATAAAATGTTGACATCTTTGACAGAACATAAATTTCAACTTTTAATAATAATCAACATTCAACAGTGATTACTGTTTAATAACAATATAGATAAATTAAAATAATTAGCCTTCTATTAGTTAAAGAGTTAGTAATAAGTAATGATAAACTTAAAATAAAATAACAACTTAGTTAAAGAAAAAAAGGTTACATTTTTCAATAGTAAGTAGTAACAATAAACAAATTAAAATAATAACCATATTTTATAAATCATATAAATTATTATTATTATATTTGTGTCAAACAACCACATTTATACAATTTTTCGTATTACGATGACGTATTATCTTCATTTTACAATACCAAAATATATGTTCAACCTTCAGCAGTTTCAATATTGTGTTGTTAGATTCAATATTAGAGTGAATTGACTATTATCAAACTTCAAGTTAATTTAAGAGGTTCTGTAAGATTAACTAGTAGTAAAAGTTTTTACAATATTTTAATTTTTAAATATTAATATTTCACACCTAGGGACTGGTATTCATAAAATAATTAATAATTAAAATAGGTATTGCATAAAAGAAATGTGAGTACATAGATAATTTAAGCTAACAATTTAAAATTAGGTCTGTTGAACATATATTTTGGTATATTATGCAATAGTAAGACAGGTTTCTGTTAAGGATAAATGGTTGCAAAAAACTGGCATTCTAACATGCACCATATCCAATGAAAACAAACATGTATATATATATGTTTTATAAACATTAAACAACAATATATATATAATACATAAACTGCTCACTTTTCATAAAATAATTACTTCAGAATAATACTCATAAAATTAGGTTCAATCAAAGTTCCCAGATTTCCATTAATCACACTGTTACCCTGCACATTATCCACTAAACCATTAGATTATATTGCATGTAGAGTAGAAATATTATCAATTTGCAACTCAATTGTTCGCCATATAGGGAATTCCGAATTTATAATATCATCTGAAAAAATATAGTTTAAAACGAATACAAAATAGTAATAAAATAAATGATTAAAATACCATTAACAATAATATTATTCTTGAATAGAAATTCTGTGGTTTTATGTAAAATTAACCCAAGAAAGTCCATTATATTGTGAAGACTACAGGGTCATATATTTTTTATTTTTATTTCTTCATCAAGTGCAAATCAAATATATTGGAAACCGATATCTCATACCTATAACATATTCATACTTCAGAGATCATTACTATGTCATTAAATTATCATAAATCGTCATTAGTTAAAAACAAAAATTATTTGTACACGTTAATTAATTAATAACTATCAATTATTGTAATTTTTACCTTTAGATACATTAGTTCTCTTCTCTCTTTATATAAAATGCAAATATTTTATATAAGAGGGTTCAATCGCTGCTACAGGAATATGGGAGATTATCACCTTAAAGAAGAATATCAAAATAAAATATATGAATTAAACATTCCTACTTCAACTATTACTGAAGATATTTCAGAAATTGTAAAGAATATTAAATCAAATATAAATAACATAATTGAAACAAAATCAATTATTAAAAAAAAATTTTAATTAGTCACTAATTTATTAATTTTTATCAGTAGTGATTAATGATTATAACTAACAATGATAATTAGTGATAACTAATAATATTTTAAAATATGTTGATAATCCCTTTTTTATTTTCACCGATATTATTTTCTTGTCGGCACCACTGAGAAGAACTCGTCCATTCAGCCATTCAGTCATTCAGTTCAGTCAATTAGGCTCACCCCTAGATTAGTCTGGAATTCCATGAGATAATTCTGTCTGTTATAGTGTTATCTCCATTCTCCGTGGGAAAACTGCCCGATGCCCGTTAACTCATACAATAAATACAGTATAATATTAAATATACTAGTGGTTTGTACCTATATATTGATTGGTATAATGTTCATATACTTCATGGTGCCTGGTGGTACTTATTAATACGTCTTTCTGAGTAGGTACATGATAAAATAATTATATCTTCTGTGAGTCCTTTATTATGATGTAGATTTAAATCCTCACAAATTCCATTAAGTATTCAAATAGGATTTACCCAATATCCTACCAGTACCCTAATGAGAGGTAAGTCATTTGAGACTGTACTAAGAGCATCCTCAGAATGTCTTTTTCGAGCATACTGTTAGGATAACTTGCGGACATGATTAGGATGGTCCTAATGACGTCCCGGGAAGAATTTTGCTATGTGGGAAGGAGGGTCATGGTTCATAATAATGCATGTATTTTCCAAAAGACATGAATAATTCCTTTACTACGCTGGTTAAAGTAGCATTTCGTTAAAACTAACTTAATTTGAAGTATAAAATAATTATCATTGCAAGTTTTAGTGCTTGCTGTTTTCTATAAAAGGTTAAGTTGTAGTATCAATGACAATAATATAGATATAATAGACTCTATATAGTAGAATATACTGTGGAACAGTATTAAAGTATAATACCGAATAATTTTGTTATTTTGGTATACCAAATCATTTTAGTTTTTTCGGTATATCGTTTCAAACCGGTATTGAAATCAATATTGTAACACCAAAAATTATTTTCAATACCTACCGTTAATCCTACCGTAGGGATACAGAGGCCCGATTACCTGAGTTTAGCTTCTATACTATTCTGTGGTTGTACTAAGGCACTATAAAGTTTATTGAAAATTAATTTGAGTGCTGAGTTTAAAATGATTTCATGATTCTGAAAGTGAGTATGATATGTTCTTACCTTTCAGAAATTCCATAGGAAAGGATAGGGACTAGTGCGATGTAAATTCATTTTTTTAGTTTGGTATTTAAAAAAGGTTTGATTTATATAATATATAGAACAATTTTCTAAGTATATGATTAATGTAATTTTTAAAAAACTATTAACACATGACATTTATTTAAAGAATACAATATTATCTAATCTTATACTGTTACATATTATATGTTTAATATAACATTACACTCAGTATTTAACATAATATATTATAATATACAATTCCTTTTAAAATTATATGGAACCAAATTCTATTACATAGTTCTCTAATATTTATGGCCTGAACAAATAAAAAATTAGTACAAAATGGCTTTTAACTGACACAATGTTAAAATCATGTTTTGTGGTTTCTTTGTTTATGTCTCTTAAGATCACTGTTGGTAAGGAATGATTGCTTACAAATTTCACATAAGTATGGTCTCTCACCAGTATGAATTCGATAGTGTACATCCAATCCGTATTTTTTTGCAAATGATTTCAAACACACATCACACTCAAATGGTTTTTCACCGGTATGTGTCCTACGGTGATTAACCAATGTAAACGAATGCTTAAACAATTTGTTACAAAAATTACATGCTAGAAGTTTTTCATTGGTATGTGTTTTTTCGTGTGTTTTTAAGTTTGCATTTTTCGAAAATGTTAGTCCACAAATTTTGCATTCAAAAGGTTTCTCACCAAAATGTAATTTTAAGTGATGATCCAAAGATGTTTTTTGTGTAAATAGGCTGGCACAAATTAAGCATTCAAATGGTTTTTCGTTATTATGTTGTCTATTGTGCCTCAATAATAAAGATTGAAACTCAAATGTTTTAGAACAAACAGAACATCTAAAATTTGGCTGGGCATTCTTTTGAAGTTCATTGGATTTAGGATTGTTAGCGACTAGTTGTGTTTTTTCTGTTACTTCTTCTAGTACTATTTTTTTTACTTTCGCCTGAAAAATAGAACTTTGTATTCCAAATATTCATATTTGAAAACTTTAATTTTAACTATCACTATTTTAACATATTTATAAAAATATATACTGTAGGTATCTAAAAGTTTAACATTTTCATAAAATAAATGAATGTCTTATTGTTTTAGCTGAAATACTATAAGTACAAACATACAAACCTCATTAGTTTTTTTCTTTTTTTTCATTTTTGTTTCTTGAAATATTTCCTTTGATCTATAAAACAGAAACATATTAAATTCTATTCAATATTCACTATAAAGACAGGCATTGGCAAAATTAAATGTATTCTCTAAAATGAAAAAAATCAATAGTAAATAGGTACCTATTACAATATCAATTGATATTTATTAGGTATTATATGGTCGAGCACTCGAGCTCAATGACATATACTCATATCATTAATATCTGGCCATATGTTGCGCACATAATATTATACTGTAAAATGAATTGGGCCAGACCGAGTAGGGCTTTTAGAATTGCATTTAGAATGGTCTTTTACTTATGAATATACACCAGTGCACAGCTACCTCTACTCTATACCAGTCTAATTTTCATTAAATAATAACATCATACCTAATGCAAGATAAATTCTGAAATTGAGAAATTATATAAATGTAAATAGTATATTTATAATCAAGTAAATAAATTCAGAGGTATTGTGTATTGAACTTTAATTGTATGTTTAATTGCTGAATTATAGTTTATATACATGACACAATTAATTAGTTTTATAAAAATAAAATTATTATTGTATCTAATGTAAAATGTTATAATTATATTATAAATGATTAGGTAATTATGAATATTTTTTTAATTCATTTTCTGTGTATATAAGTAATATTTTTTAAAGTTACAGAATTTATCATAATATCATTATTATAGGCATAAGGAACAAACATACATAAATTCTACATAGTTTTATACATTTTAATGAATATATAATTTTTTAGAGGTTCATTAACTATGAAAACAAAAACAATACCTACATAAATTTTGCATTCAGAAAGTTTGCAGAAAAAAAACAAACAAATATAGGACTTAAATTATTAACTTGTGACCAGTCGTGCGTTTTCAGATGCTACTTTGACGTTAAAAATTTATCCCAGCATAATAGACTGTTAAAATACATTTGTTTAAGAGGATGTCAGCGCAATATTTGTTTTCTTTTTCAGACCTATACTCAACATAGATAAAACAGTTTCACCCGAAATCATTTTTTTAGTTTTTGAGTAATCTAAGAATTGCGTTCTTACGTCTATGGTATAAGGTTGGTCTATCTACCAATTGATGAGTGCAGTTCCTTTATCTCTCTTTTACATTGGGCGCATAATATACAACCTTAATTAGATTAGTATAAGTTATTAAATATAATCAATTTTAAATTGATTTAAAAATGTCATGTTCAATTTGAAATAGTGTTCTAAATTTAAAATTTATTTGTATTTTGAAAGTGCCGGTCAAATAGAAGCAAATTTTAGCAAATTGAGCCAAAAAGCTAAAGAAAATTGGTAGTGTTTAAAATGTAAAAGTAGCTTCGCAGTAAATGAAACACCTATTGGTACTACCCCAAAAAAAATACAGTGTTTAACTGGCACAGTAATGTTGGAAAAGTATATTGTTTCAAACAACGTACTTCAAGATAGTTCTAATTCAGTTAAATTCATGAGTAATAAATTTGATGAATTTATTGTTCAAATAAAAGATTTGGTATCAGCAGTTAAAAAAATTAAAATTAAAAAAACAAAATCTGAAATTGGAAAATGAATTAATTATAGTAAGCAAACGTCTCAATAACTTAGAACAGGAATAATTTGGGAACCATGTTGAAATAATCAGTGTACCTATACGAGCCAATGAAAACTGTGCAAAGAATCGTTAATTGATCAAGCAAGGAAGAAAAGGTCATCAGCAAACAGCATAAATGTCAACTGAGAAAGTAATGGTATCTTTATTAATAACTATTTAACTCGAAATATTTTTTATAAAACTTGAATGTTTGCCAATTAACATAGTTTGTATGGTTTAAAAACAAAAAAAACTCTTTTTAAAAAAGGCGAAAACTCCAATACAATTTATATAGACGATAAAATTACTTTAAATAAACTTAAAACTAATTAGTTAATACAATCTACAGGTATTTAAAAAAAAAGTATATATTAAATTTAATTAACTTACGTAATGATTAGTATTAACCCATTTAATAGGTTTTTAGACTATTCAATAAATTATTTTAAATCTTTTTCAGTGTTTATTAACATGTATAATATTGACATTTGTAATGGTACATTTCTTAAATATTGTGTGCTGTAATATAAATGTAGATGAACTAATACTTTATAGTACCAACAATAATTATGGTGTTATAATTATATATAAAAATGATTTAGATTTTTTTTTAGTTTGATGATAGTACACGCCAATATTATCAAAGTAACAATATACTATGTAAATAATCATATAATCTTATTCTGTATCTATGGATAGCTATGAATTTGTGACAATTCTGAATATATTATTAAATGAAAAAAATAAGACCTAAAATGTAAAAAATATCAACAAAAAAAGGTGGGCATGTGGGTTTACCTCTGCTGTACAGTAGGTTATAAGTAGGTCACTGTAATGGATTGTGTTACATTTGAATTCAATATTATAATATCATTGTATAAGGAAAACGATTCTGAGCCAAGAGTGAAGACGGGCAGTAAGCCTATAATATTACTAAGTAGGTATATCTGAAGATATTATTTTGAATAAAGTAATTTATATTTAACCTATTCATGTTGAACTTTGTTTTAAATTTATAATCCTTATCTATAAAAGTTGAACATTTTATACATTTTTAACTACTAAATAATTTGTAAATTTTCAATATGATAAATTAAGTAAAAACTTGAACTTTAATGATTATAAAAAAAAAAAAAAAACGTGTATATGTATTTTTAATAATTTTTATCTGCTATTGTAACAATATATCAGGAGCCTTGTATTAATTTTCCACGCTTTTTGACCCAACAAATTAAATTATATTGATATTTATAAAAAAAATCTAAAAAAAATTGAGATTTGAATTTTTCCATAAACAGCTCAAAATGAGTGAAAATATTTTCAAAATTGTATGGCGTATAGAATCATTTTTTCTATGTTTGTAAGTTATCTTGGAATACAATCACCCATTACAAAAAAGATAAAAAATAATATTTTAGACTGAATGACATAGATTTTATATTTTATTGTTATTTAGGTTTGTATTTGACTTTCAAAATAAACAAAAATATGTTGTAAATTTAAATGATGTTTAAATTCTTTTGAGACAATATTTAGATAAATTTATATGTCATACCCTCAAAAATATTATTCTATATCGTTTTTGTAATGGGTGATTTTATTAAATTTTAATTATTGATTTTATTTTATCATTAAAAACATAAAAAAAATGATTTTAGTTCAATGTGTTTTGTCTGTTGTCCGTGGGAGAAAGAAAACAAATAGTGAGCTGACATCTCCTTAAGTAACGGCAGTACAAAATATAATAATATTTGTTTTAAATATTATTCATTTTTACCCTAATCAAGTGGACACAGGTTAAAACCATTTGTATACATACTTTGATGAATGATCAGCATCACTTAGAGTTTTGGAAGTAACAGTAGTTGTATTGGTATTAGTATCTAAAATTAAAAATCCATTCGTTAAAAACAATTTAAAATTAATTTCAGTTAGATATTTTATAAAAAAAATTGTTTTGATAGAAACGGTTTCAGACACATGTTTGATACCTATTGTATTTGAAAAATAATAAAATAGAGCTTTAGTCTAAAATGAGTTTGTTCTATATTGATATTAATATAAATAGTGATTTTAGTGTAGTTGCAAAACATTTAAATATGTTTAAACTGTATATTATGACTTAAACCTTGGGAAATATCAATATTCCGGAATGAATGAAGGGTTACAATACATTCTAAAACACTTTTCAGTATAAAGTCTGTAACAGTTACTGTAAATTATATCAACATCAAAAAACTAACTATAAAAATAATGTCAAGTTAAAGACTACTTAACAAAAAAAAGAAAGCCTATCAAAGTAGTAATACCTATGTACATTGAGGCCAAGTCTACTATTTTGTTACTCGATAACCTCAAACGGCTCAAACTTAAATCCTACTTTCATAAGCAACAATGCGCCAATGCTCTTTTATTTATATTGCTTAACATAATAGATTGTCAAGTTTTGCCTAGACTCAGGGCACACAGCGATCACCAGTAGCTGGTGGTCTATATTGAAACAGAATGTATGGCTTTTATTGGATGAAGAACATTTTTAAAATATTATGAAATACTGATTAATGTCAATAAATTATACCTAGCTTGAAGCAACGTAATAATTTTAATATTAAAAAAATCTACCTTTGACTGCTTTCTTTTTCTTAAGTATCCTAATTTCATTTCCTGTAATCATTACAACATCCTCTTTAACGGTGTCCATTTCTTCTCATTCTACCGATTATGAATAAATTAAATCGATATTCGATACAAAATAATTGTGTTAATAAATCTATAATCAAAATTATTAAACTAAATAGTATTTGCTATTATAGATGCTATAACCTATTGGGCATTGGCTATTATAGAACGTGTTTCATAATTCGTATTCTGTGAGACGTATTTTGCTGTATCTTGTATCAGTTCACAGTTTCACACTTCTACAGTAAGTTATGTCTGTGAAGTTAGCTCCCGGACGTTTAGCAGTTATCAATTCTGATAAGGTAGGTAACCGTATTCCTGTATACTATATTGCCTATTCATATCTTACTAGGAGTCTTAACAAAAATATTTATTTTTCAGATATACCTACCTAATTCAAGATGGAAGAATGATAATTATTATAATTATTAAGATTATAATATTATTAAATATTAATAAGTGACATGTCATACTATATTAATGCAATTAATAAAACAAACAAAATTCTGAACTACCTACTATGAGTATAATTCCATAAAAATTGATAGTAATTAAAATTTTTTTTTGCAAATATTGGATTTCATAAACAGGTATTGTTTTTACTATTTTGAGTAAATAAATCTAATTTGAGTAAATATATACTGCAAGTGATATACATCTTATAATGTAAATATAGGCATCAATAGACAAAAATATTGTACCAAAATGAGAATAGAAAACCCTAAACCTACAATTATTACAAAAAGTATTAAGATTATCTACAGGTGCGTTCCAAACAGTCAAATCAAATCAGCTTTAAGGAAAAAATTTATATTATCCGACAATAACCCACCAATGGTCTATAATAATATTCAAAACTAATTTAACATTTGATAAAACTACAGGGTCAACAATGGGGAACGAGCTTAAACATTTAATCATAGAATGAATAACAATTAACTAGATTATATATATTTATGTGTTAAAGACCTCGCATAATGATCTTAAATTAATAATTATCAAACTTTTACAAATAGCTTTTAAAAAATAACATTTAGTATTCTTGGAATAACTTGATGACAAATATTTTTGAATACAATTGTATGTCCCAATACTGCCAGTACACATAAAAAAGGGGATATATCATTAATTGTTCAATTACCTGTTAATGAACATTACAAATAACAATCCTCCTTAGTTATTAAAAGTTAAAACAAATCCAATTTAACACCCCACATAATTTAGTAGACACAATAAGGATGATTCTACTATAAAGAACATTTTGGAGGGACGACTCAGCATGAAAAACAAAATGTATGTAGGTACACCGAATTATATTTAATTGAGCAGGCATCAAATAAAAATTCGGAATCTGTAGTTTTCCGAAAGGGCCACGGTAGACTTAAATTCCAGGATTATAAAACGATATCAACCATACGATTTTTGCGATTTACGTGCCATGCGGCTGCAAAGTTGGTCTAATAGGACGGCTTTTTCAAAACGAACACGGAAACTTATGTTTTTCAGACCATTTTAAGGCAAAAGAGCATTCAGCATAGATTTGAAAATTGTAGTTTTTGGATGGGGCAATCAGGGGACTTAAAAGCGGCCTCTAGGAAAATAAAAGTATATACATATTATACGACTTTCATGACATACAGGCAAAGCTGCCACGGGTATACTTAGAACAGAATTTTCGAAATTACACCCAAAATGCTATTTGTCAAATCATTTTCAATCGAAAGAGCAACCAACGTAGACTCAAAATTTGTATATTTCGAAGGGGGCACTCGGGGGACTTGGGCTCCAGAAAAATAATGAGATTGCAACTATATGATTTTTACGATACTGCCGTATTTCGACTGTGCGTTGTACTTAGAAAATATTTTTCGAAACGAACACCCGAATTGCGAGTTGTCAAACCATTTTTAAACGAAAAGGCAACCAACGCAGTTTCAAAATTTGTATATTTCGAAGGGGGCACTCGCGGGACTTGGGCTCCAGAAAAATAATAAGATTGCAACTATGTGATTTTTACGATACTGCCGTATTTCGACTGTGCGTTGTACTTAGAACGGCTTTTTCGAAACGAACACCCGAATTGCGAGTTGTCAAACCATTTTTAAACGAAAGGGCAACCAACGCAGTTTCAAAATTTGTATATTTCGAAGGGGGCACTCGCGGGACTTGGGCTCCAGAAAAATAATAAGATTGCAACTATGTGATTTTTACGATACTGCCGTATTTCGACTGTGCGTTGTACTTAGAACGGCTTTTTCGAAACGAACACCCGAATTGCGAGTTGTCAAACCATTTTTAAACGAAAGGGCAACCAACGCAGTTTCAAAATTTGTATATTTCGAAGGGGGCACTCGCGGGACTTGGGCTCCAGAAAAATAATAAGATTAAAACTATTAGATATTTATGAGTTTAGAGGCGAATTGGCTACGTGGTATACTTAGAAAATATTTTTCGAAACGAACACCCCAATTGCGAGTTGTCAAACCATTTTTAAACGAAAGGTCAACCAACGCAGTTTCAAAATTTGTATATTTCGAAGGGGGCACTCGCGGGACTTGGGCTCCAGAAAAATAATAAGATTGCAACTATGTGATTTTTATGAGTTTAGAGGCGAATTGGCTACGTGGTATACTTAGAGAATATTTTTCGAAACGAACACCCGAATTGCGAGTTGTCAAACCATTTTTAAACGAAAGGGCAACCAACGCAGTTTCAAAATTTGTATATTTCGAAGGGGGCACTCGCGGGACTTGGGCTCCAGAAAAATAATAAGATTGCAACTATGTGATTTTTACGATACTGCCGTATTTCGACTGTGCGTTGTACTTAGAACGGCTTTTTCGAAACGAACACCCGAATTGCGAGTTGTCAAACCATTTTTAAACGAAAGGGCAACCAACGCAGTTTCAAAATTTGTATATTTCGAAGGGGGCACTCGCGGGACTTGGGCTCCAGAAAAATAATAATATTGCAACTATGTGATTTTTACGATACTGCCGTATTTCGACTGTGCGTTGTACTTAGAACGGCTTTTTCGAAACGAACACCCGAATTGCGAGTTGTCAAACCATTTTTAAACGAAAGGGCAACCAACGCAGTTTCAAAATTTGTATATTTCGAAGGGGGCACTCGCGGGACTTGGGCTCCAGAAAAATAATAAGATTGCAACTATGTGATTTTTACGATACTGCCGTATTTCGACTGTGCGTTGTACTTAGAACGGCTTTTTCGAAACGAACACCCCAATTGCGAGTTGTCAAACCATTTTTAAACGAAAGGGCAACCAACGCAGTTTCAAAATTTGTATATTTCGAAGGGGGCACTCACGGGACTTGGGCTCCAGAAAAATAATAAGATTAAAACTATTAGATATTTATGAGTTTAGAGGCGAATTGGCTACGTGGTATACTTAGAAAATATTTTTCGAAACGAACACCCGAATTGCGAGTTGTCAAACCATTTTTAAACGAAAGGGCAACCAACGCAGTTTCAAAATTTGTATATTTCGAAGGGGGCACTCGCGGGACTTGGGTTCCAGAAAAATAATAAGATTGCAACTATGTGATTTTTACGATACTGCCGTATTTCGACTGTGCGTTGTACTTAGAACGGCTTTTTCGAAACGAACACCCGAATTGCGAGTTGTCAAACCATTTTTAAACGAAAGGGCAACCAACGCAGTTTCAAAATTTGTATATTTCGAAGGGGGCACTCGCGGGACTTGGGCTCCAGAAAAATAATAAGATTAAAACTATTAGATATTTATGAGTTTAGAGGCGAATTGGCTACGTGGTATACTTAGAAAATATTTTTCGAAACGAACACCCCAATTGCGAGTTGTCAAACCATTTTTAAACGAAAGGTCAACCAACGCAGTTTCAAAATTTGTATATTTCGAAGGGGGCACTCGCGGGACTTGGGCTCCAGAAAAATAATACGATTGCAACTATGTGATTTTTACGATACTGCCGTATTTCGACTGTGCGTTGTACTTAGAACGGCTTTTTCGAAACGAACACCCCAATTGCGAGTTGTCAAACCATTTTTAAACGAAAGGGCAACCGACGCAGTTTCAAAATTTGTATATTTCGAAGGGGGCACTCGCGGGACTTGGGCTCCAGAAAAATAATAAGATTGCAACTATGTGATTTTTATGAGTTTAGAGGCGAATTGGCTACGTGGTATACTTAGAGAATATTTTTCGAAACGAACACCCGAATTGCGAGTTGTCAAACCATTTTTAAACGAAAGGGCAACCAACGCAGTTTCAAAATTTGTATATTTCGAAGGGGGCACTCGCGGGACTTGGGCTCCAGAAAAATAATAAGATTGCAACTATGTGATTTTTACGATACTGCCGTATTTCGACTGTGCGTTGTACTTAGAACGGCTTTTTCGAAACGAACACCCCAATTGCGAGTTGTCAAACCATTTTTAAACGAAAGGGCAACCAACGCAGTTTCAAAATTTGTATATTTCGAAGGGGGCACTCACGGGACTTGGGCTCCAGAAAAATAATAAGATTAAAACTATTAGATATTTATGAGTTTAGAGGCGAATTGGCTACGTGGTATACTTAGAAAATATTTTTCGAAACGAACACCCGAATTGCGAGTTGTCAAACCATTTTTAAACGAAAGGGCAACCAACGCAGTTTCAAAATTTGTATATTTCGAAGGGGGCACTCGCGGGACTTGGGTTCCAGAAAAATAATAAGATTGCAACTATGTGATTTTTACGATACTGCCGTATTTCGACTGTGCGTTGTACTTAGAACGGCTTTTTCGAAACGAACACCCGAATTGCGAGTTGTCAAACCATTTTTAAACGAAAGGGCAACCAACGCAGTTTCAAAATTTGTATATTTCGAAGGGGGCACTCGCGGGACTTGGGCTCCAGAAAAATAATAAGATTGCAACTATGTGATTTTTACGATACTGCCGTATTTCGACTGTGCGTTGTACTTAGAACGGCTTTTTCGAAACGAACACCCGAATTGCGAGTTGTCAAACCATTTTTAAA